AAATATAAACAGACAAAATATCGTAATGATAATTCAGTTATTGACATACAATTTTATTTTCATACCTTTTTTCTTTTTTTTTCTTTTGTGATTGAACAGATGTTTTTGTGAAAATATTTTTGACCATAAAAAAAGAATCTGTGCGAGCATCGTGTACCACTAACTTTCATTCATGATTACTGGGTTGACGAAAATGACGTTCCTTGGTTTAAAAAATCTACTAACTTAAATTGATTCAAAATATATTAGACGTTTAACGAGAAAAATTATTAATATAGAAGCAATAAGTGAAGAATTCATTAGATATTTTATACACAGTAATATGAAGATAATTATGACACGCATTATGACTTTGTCATTTTAAATTAATTAACTCGTATTTAAAAATACAGTATTTATTCATTATATTTAAATTTGGTCACTTTTTGCAGTGTATATTAGGGAGTCATTCCCATCACTGAGAAAAGATAATTCTCTTGGACTCAGTGAAATGACTAATTTCACACAGAACCGATACATAATAAACATCAAATGCTTGAATTCTCAATCTCTCTTTGTCTTTCTTCAACTTTTATTCTCTATAATCATTATCGACAGAGATGAAATAAGGCTTGAATCTCATGTTTTTTTACATACATGTGAATTGAATTATTGGTCTAGAGTATTGAATTCATGATGAATATAATATATCAAAAAAACTAATGTATTCTTGATAAATTAACTTCAACATAATTAAATTTAACTCGATGCAACAGTTGACATAGAGTGACATCTAATAGCATCTTCGTAAAACAATAAATAATATGAAAATTTTGTTAAAAAAGAGTATTTAATTTTCAATTGCTTCTGTATTAAAAAATTCGATATTAAATTTTCAATTATATAAAATCGCTGATCGATTATTATAATTGAATATAAATCCTATAAATAGATCTTCGTCACGAGAACAAACAAATGATCATTACATTAAATACAAAAAATAATGTATAGATGTTAAGTAATTTAACAAATGTGCCCCAAACTAATCGATAATTATAAAGAGATTAAAGGGAACTGACAGGGAATGAAAGAAATTGATTGCCCGCTTATTTTAACATTTTAATCAAAAAAATTGTACGAAAATTGTACATAAAATAACGATAGACTCCCAACTAGAATTGTTTAAGAGTTAATTAAAATACGGCCCCGAATTAATCGAAAATAAATTCGATTGTAAAGCATCGTGGGAAGAAGAATGTTCGATATTCGTCTTCGTGAAACTCTTACTCGATCTACTCACGCTCTATTTCCATCATGGATTAAAGCAATTTTGTCACGCTCTGATCCTGGAGAAAACTTTCTACATAAAACAATTTCGATCGATCGATCGATTTCGAAGTATAAGATATAACTTTGAGATACTTTGTTTTTTCATTCTTTTTGATTTTAAATTTTCTTTTCATTATTAATAAAAAAAAAAAAAAGTCGGTAATCATCAAGAAAATATTATTTATAAACTATGTATATTAAACTTTTAATCGAAAAACAAACGAGTTAATCTCTCATTTGAATTATCAATTTCTTAAGTATAATAATTTTTATTTAAGGTTAATTTAAATTCGTACTTTTTTTTATATATATATAAATTGCTAATTTTTTTATCATGTTAATTTGATAATTTCATTTAAAATACTGGAAACCGGAGGAAATATGTAGAACTACGAGACATCTACAGGTGTGTTTTAATTAGCCCCTTGGAAAGTGACACACTTGCCTAATTTTACGCTCGATTCTCTGACGCCTTAGTTGCTTAGTTATCGATACTTACTTGATCTTATTGATGCTTATATCTATAATATCATAAGATATATTCAATAATCGTAAGATTCAATGAATAATCATTATCATTAAGATAAATAAAAATAACTGAGGAAGAAGCACAATAATTGCGCAATTTTTTCTTTTTTTTTTATCACAGATATATTTTTTTATTTACATCGATGTAAAGTGGATATGGACAAATTCTAATAAAGAAATATAAAATGTAGGATCGAATACTAATTATAATTACGCATCGATAAAATACAAATAAAAAATGAATTTTATTTAATTCAATTTTCATCATTCAAAGATATAAAAAAAATATATATATTAATATATAGCTTGAAAATAAATTCAAATAAAAATCAATATATTAATTAGCGATTTTATTACAACTTATTGCAATTTATTGCAACTACTGCAATATACTTTACTGCTTTTTATTTATCTTAAAACTAATAATATGTTACATCGAATTTACCGATAATATTTATCAATAGTCTCTGATTTCCGCATTCGCGGAATTCATGTAAAGTTACGGTCACAATGAAATCCAATTTACGCCGATACTCACGAAGATGAATAATCAACAACATGCTTTATCTCACAAAGGGGAAACGTTGTGTTTCTAGTATGATTGTTTAGAACGAAAAAAAAACGTGTTAAATTTATCTTTCCTTGTTGTCGAATCGAATAATGAATAACAATATTTATAGAAGAGAAAGTTATTAGTGAAACTTGTTTGTAATTATCGGATAGATTTAAAATATTAAAAATTCGAAATTGAGTAGTTATGGTTATAAAAAGATCGGAAACGCTACAGCGAAAGCAATTGGAAAACAATTTTCTTGGAAACAAATGTAAATAATCAATTGAAACGTTTTATATTTGTTTATCTTAAATGATTAGAATTATTTAACAATACTCGCGAAAGTAGCTCTTAATGTATTATAATCTTTTCGTATTAAATAATTCGAAGTTTCTCGAACTAACGGTGTCTTTTACACACAGTCAGAGAAAATTATACATTTTAAAATTTATATATTGGATAGAATTGTTGAAAAATTTAACAAAAATATATCAGAATTGATAGATAAATTTTATATTTCAAGTATCAAATACATTATCCTATATATTTATTCTCTTAAATTCTGTCTAAGCGCTTCGTTTAAAAGTTCTTAAAAATTGCAATTTGTCCACTGATGCTAAAATGTTTTTTAAATAACTACCTATTATTCTGTAGAATGTATTAATTACATTTAAAAATCATCATCTATATGGCAATCAAATTAATATTACTTATTTTTTTTTTTTTTTCGTTACTTTTAGTATATCCTCAAAAGCAACAATACGCTTATGCTGGTTATCCGGCACCGGCGGCGTATCCAGGACCTTATTATCACGGATCGCAGTACGGACCCTACAACTACTGAAGAAGATCTGTATCATCTCTGTCAACGGAGGAAAGAGTCTAGAGCGCGGAGTATATTCTGAAACGTGCTCAAAATGAATAAAACATTAAATATATCTGGTAAACGATGATTCCCTAAGGGAATGAATAAAAAAAAAAAAAGAAAAAATAGGAAAAAAAAATGAAACGAACAAAAAACGAGGATTCCTGAAGGTCGATCGTAAATCCCAAACCGTGCCTGCACGAGGGAAGAAAAAGAAAAGGCAGAGAAGAAGGACGACCTTGGGTCCCACCCTAGACATAATTTATCACTTACTTTAAACGCCACGTTACGGACGTTCTGGTGCATATAACCGTCTGGGTCCCACGATCTTCCATCTCTTTCAGTTTTCTCTTTCAGCAGGTGTCTGTTTTGGTACATGATCGCTCGCACGGGGCTCGCGAAAAAGACAGTTGCTCAAAAACAGTCCGCGTACTTAGAACTGAGATGATTAACATGTAATGTTATTTTTTTCTTCTAAAATCTAATATTTGTACTACATTACTCTTTGTACGTGCTGATCGCGCTAGGACAATAATAATAGTAATGATAATAATAATAATAATAATAATATTAATAATAATAATAATAATAATAATAATAATTGCATTTTGAGCGTGGGAGAGATATATTTGATTATATATTTAATTAATTGGCTATATGATCTTTCTCAGGGGAATGAGAAACGATTTATCGTTCGACATTTAACCATATAATTAATAACAATATCTCGATGTCGAATTTCTGAAAGTACTACATGACTTTAGAGGTTAACCGTCAATTCTTAAAGTGCCTTACTTTCAGTTACCTTTTATTTTTATTGTAAATTGCGAATATCGTATTGTTAAATAATCTATATTTGAATTTTAACGAAAAAGTTTGTAAATTATTATAAGCAGAATAATTGTGAATAAAGAGAAATCGGTAACTAAAAGTAAGAGTTAATAAATTGAGGAGAAAGTGCGTCAAATAAATATTGAAATTTTTATTTGTTTTAATAGAAATTTCAATCGTGGTTGTTGTAAAAAAAATTCGGCATATATGGTGCAAGAAAAATATTCGTTAATTATATATAGATCAATCTAAACGGCAGAAAATATAAAATAGGTGCATTTTATCATTTATAAATATCATATTTTATAATAAAATTCGCATCATCGATTCACTAGATTTTCTAACATATATATATAGATCTTTTTTTTCTCAATAACTACATAAAATTTGTTCCGGTATCTTTACGTATGGTATTAAGAAATAATAAAAATATTTCAATTATTTTATACATATTCCTTTAAGTAAATAAATTAAATTAGATTTATTCCAAATACTACTTTTTACAATTGTTATAATTATACTGTGAAACTTAGATAAATGAATTAAAAAAATAATAGTGTAAGTATAACTGTTTGTTTATGTACATTCGGAATCGTTTATTGTTTCTAGAAACAAATACTATAAAGAGTTCTAACCCTTTATGAATAAAAGGTGCAACGTATCATTAAAAGTTGTTTAATATATTTGATACGTTAACGTAAACGTGTGAATTATTTTCTTTTATTTACCTGTCAAATTCCTATTTAATCCTATTCTTCTTTATCTTAGAGAACGACGATTTGTAAAATTAAACCGGTCTTATTTTCATTTATTTCTTTCTATAAAATACAAATTTCAAAACATATAAAATAGAAAATATTTTTAAATATTGAATTGGCATATATAATTAACCAATAAAAATCAAGAATTCTATCAGTCATGTAAGAGTTTCAAGATGGCGACGTGAATTTAACATCTACAATGGCTACTTCGCGGCATTCATTGTCAGTTCAATATAAGTTTGTAACGGTGTAGGAAGATGATGAACTTTATTTCGCAATTTTTTTTAATTTCTATCAGTATTTTAATAATCGACTCAAATATTGTGACACAAAAAAGTTTTCAAAATGAAAAGGTATGTAATACGCGCAATCTGAATACTTTTTATCGTTTGTTCATTTTTATTTAATCCTTTCACTTTTGTTATTCATCTCTAAAAGACATCTTTCGCAATACATTTCATTGATTATCGTTAAAATACATCAGTTACAGTCATGAAATGATTCCAGTACAATCACAAGTCGACCGAGTTATCAAGAAATCAAATAATCAAATTGTCAAATCTGTCAAATGTTAGTCATTTAAATGAAATTTTAGATAACATATGCATTGTGAGAATTGTTGGAACACCAGAACATACAAAAGTAAAAAATGTAAGTTGAAATAATGTCTATAACAGAAATATTATAAAAACAATATAATTCAGTAATATTTTTAAATTACATTTATAATATATATAGTAGAATTGATTTTAGAATTATGATTTTAAAAATTCTAATCTAATACAAAATTTATATATAAGTATGATGTAACTCTAAAAAAAAACTATTTATTGATAAAACAAACTTTGTTTTTTTTTACATAGTATATCAAGAAGTCATTGGAAGATCTTAATTGGACTGTGGAAATTGATAGTTTTAAAGATAATACTCCAATTTTTGGTCCTTTAGAATTCAAAAATATAATTGCAAAGTTAAATCCCAACGCAAAAAGATATTTGGCATTGGCTTGCCATTATGATTCAAAGTATACTAAAGAAAGGAATTTTATTGGTGCTACAGATAGTGCAGTACCATGTGCTCAAATGATTAATTTAGCTAAAGTTATGAAGAATTATTTAGAATCTATAAAAAATGTAAGTGAAATTTTATTGATAATTTTTATTTAAAATATATTATTATAATTGTTCTTTCTTGCTTTCAGAATGATATCAGTTTAATGTTTATATTTTTTGATGGTGAAGAAGCTTTTAAAGAATGGGGTCCAAAAGATTCTATCTATGGTGCAAAGCATTTAGCTAAAATTTGGCATAATAATTATACTAATTTTAAAGATGGAGAAAATATTTCTGAATTAGATAAATTAGTAAGTATTAATAAACATGTAAAAACGTTTATAAATATTTATTTTCATTTTTTTTTATAGGATTTACTAGTTTTGTTAGATTTAATAGGTGCACCAGATCCAACATTTTATAATTACTTTAGCAATACAGAAAAATGGTATTCCATACTAATAAACGCTGAAACTAAATTAGCTTCTTTAAGAAAGTTTGAGTCATATTCTTATGGACAACCTACACAAACGTACTTTCAACCATATTCTGTAGAAGCCTATATTGAGGATGACCATATTCCTTTCTTACATCGTGGTAAATATTAACTTCTGTATATATATATATATATATATATATTGTATAGTGTATTTATTTCTTATAAAATATTTGTTTCAGATACTCCTATCCTTCATTTGATACCGTATCCTTTCCCAATTGTTTGGCATAAATCAAGTGATAATCGTAATAACATTGATTTAAAAACAACAGAAAATATAAATAAAATTCTAAGAATTTTTGTAGCTTCATATTTACATATTAATATATAATTCCTAATTAAGAAATTTTTATATTGTTATAAGACATTTATTTTTAATATTGCATAACAATATTATAGAAAAATAATATAAAATAATATAATAATAATAATATAAATAATATAAAATTAAATAACATATATACGTAAAAGTAATGATATTTTATGATAAACTTTGAACAAAAATTTGAAATTATTTTTAAGATTAATTTATAACTTTTATAGTTTGAAAATTTATATGTTGCAATTTTGTACTCTATACATATGCCTTTTGTAAGATAAATTATTGTTAAACAAATTATTGTAAATTTAATATTATGTATTTATATGTACAAATTTACATATATAAAAATAGAAAAAACTCATGTATATGAAAAAAAATAAGATATTAATTTTTTATTATAAATAAAATATCTTTTTTTTTGAATGATAAGCGAAATAATTTCAATAAAAATATAAGTTTAATATGGAACGAATTATAATTGCAAATATTCTTTTAAATATGAATGTGAAAATGGAAACAAATATAGTATTGAGGAAATCAAACACGTGACTTCCGGATACATGTTTAGAATAAGAATTCAAATATATCTCTGATGAAATTTTATACATAATCGTATTATGTTTAATTTTTAATATTATATATATATTCAAAAATTTGACCTATTATGTCATTCGCAATATATCAAAATGTTATTTTATTTTTTCTTAAAATATAATTGATTTTAAAATTTAATTTTGATTAATTTTACATTGTAATAATTTATATAAAAAATATAAATTAATAATTTATCTTTTTTAAATAATGAATTATTATAAAAGTTTTAAAACAGAATACTATTGTAAAATATTTTCACGAGTATAACGGTCAATGATTGAATAAAGTGAAAGTGGGTATTCTATTGCGAGGTTTGGCAGGCCTGATCGAGGTCATTGTTCGTACGGGCGCGCCCGACTAGGCTTTCGTTCCAACTCCAGCCGAACGTAGACGATTTCGGCCGAGCATAGTCGAATGTAACCGAAACATATGATTGGTGGAAAGCCGACGCGACGGCAAAAGACATGTCGCACCGCTCGAGGAAGAGACAACGCCGACAGAGATGTTGAAGTTTATCAGAGGGAAGGGCCAACAACCTACGGCCGAGCGACAGAAACTACAAAAGGATCTTTTTGCCTTTCGAAAAGTGAGTCTTGATTAAAAGTTTCATCTATATCCGGCCGGCGAAATGTGCCGACACTTTCTTCTACTCGCCTGCTTCTATAAAACATTACAATAGTGTTCGCTTAACTGCAACAGCTCCAGACTTTATAGTTGCAACTATTTGGAAAAATGTAGTATAGAAATTTCTTTTTCCAGCTTATTCAAATCTCAATAATGTGGAAGTTAGAATGGAATATAACAATAAATTATTTAGCATATTCAATTCCTTATAAAAAAGATCCAGAAGCTGTTGCAGCTAAACGAGTACTACTCTATGTAGCCGAATGCTTCATCGCCGATATGAACGTAGTGTGAAGCCAGTTCTAAGAACTGGTGGGGATATGGATTTGCAATTAAGCGGGTAAAAATTGTTAAGCGGTTGCTATTGTATTTTTTTCTCTAGATGTTGAGATTAATGAAATAGATTAGCTTCACTTTTATGACAAAACAATATTACCATGGATAAATATCCATGTTATATATATTTAGATATCCATGTGCTGGAGTTTTCATGGAAATGGAAAGCCAATAATAATAAGCGAATAATTTCGATGCATTACGGAGAAGCTATTTTTTACCGTTTTTTCAGAGGAAAGTGAGAGTATATTGAGACAAATTCGTTTTTTCAATTTTATATTTAAAATATAGCTCTTAAAATTAAATTTGGTTCTTTCATTCAATTATTTCAAATTTTTAAAAGAACATTATAAATCAGTTTTCTCATATATATATAAATTTTTAATATTTTAATTGAAAAAAATACTAATCGAATCATTTGATAAACGTCAGAAGGTTAACCTTATCAGACAGCTATCGGTTTTTAAACCAAAGCGATCCTTCATTTCTTTCTGTTTTATTTACACGTTCATTGTTTATAAGTCAACAAGCTTGCAATTGAAAGTTTATTCTGTTACCACGTCAGATAGTAATCTCGTGTTTCGTGATATCACGATGTTGACATACGATACGTTTTACAGAATACAAGCTCTTTTTACGCGTAAGCTTCCCGATCGTTTTACAGATAAATCTTGTACTTTAAAAAAAAAAAAAAAAGAAAAAAAAATAAAAAGATAGTGAATATCGCGACTCAAGGAGATTCATAAATATACCATGATATAATTCATAGATATAATTGATATCTAAAAAAACTTGTTCCAAATTTATTTTCGACAAAAAAATATGAATGAATTCGACTTTAATTCCTATCTATCAAATTACAACGTAACTTAAAATAAAATTCTAAGATTTGCCATTTTCATAGATTACTGACATTTATGAATAACAAATATAATAAATACTTTTTGTAATATTAAATGAATATTTAAAAAATTTTTTTGTTTTTTTCGTTTTCGAGCCGATCTTGTTCAAACAAAAATCGTTATTTTCTATTGATTTAAAAGAAGCGAGATGTATTTAATCAACGTCAATATACATCTAGACTATTTTTTAAGCTGCTTTCATACGATGAAATATTAAGATTCTAAAATTGCCTTCATCCAAGAACATGATACAGCGTATTTTAAGAATGAACAGTGCGGAATCAACAGGTCGATACCCGAACGTAATCGATACCGAAAGTCTAGAAGACGACCAGTGGCCGAGACACGGTGCAAGAGAGTCAGGATTATTGTGGTCGTGTATGGTGTGTGTGGTGCGTTTCTTTAGCGGTTCTGTCTCGGTTGGCTGTCATCGTCGCCAGCCATCGGGTGCACTGTCGCGAAACCTTATCGCGGTTTAATTCTCTGCCTGCTGGATTCGAAGTTTGACGACACGGATTGCGAAAATAGACGTGAGTGCAATCAGGTCGTGCCGGTTCTGATCGATCTGTGATGAAGGACGATTTTTCTTCGATACTTCGTGAATCCCTTAGACCGTTACAATTGAAATTGTATACTTATCCCATGTTTCATTCATTCTCTTGTTTTTCGTATACCACAGGAAGTATATGAATTCACAATAGGACCATTTCATTTGATATGTATAACGTTACTTTCGTTCGGTCAGAAAATGAAATAGGAAATGTAGGTTAATCTGTAGGTTAAGCAATTACAGACAAAAGTAGCACACTTTGCGCGGTAAGATGTACGAGTTGAAAAAAGTAGAAAGCCCTCAGCATGGAGGGTGCTTGTTGCCTTAATTAAAGCGGTCACATTTACGCAAACTTGATGTCTTCAATATAATTTGAAACGATCGAAATACGAAATAATAGTTAATTTAGATTACATCACTGTTCCTATTGGAGTGTTTATCGGAAAAAGGTGTGGGATTTACAAAAAAAAGAAGGATAACCTTGGAATCTTTAGAAATTATAATGAATATTTTTAAAAAAGATAAAAAAAAACTTTTTTTAGATGATATAATATAATACAATATATCATAATGTTTTAAAAGTAAAAAAAATTGTGTTAAAATGAAAAAGATTGATTACACTTTAATAATTCCTTTCCAAATTATTTCGGACATAATGTTTGATCTTCAAAATCGATTCTTTCGATAATTCTACATATTTTTCCTAGAAAAAAAAAAGAAAGATATGACGGAAGATATTATCGGTTTTCTGTGCAAACAAACGCGTGATAAAATGCTTAGCCCTTTTCATGTTCGGTTTTAATATATAAGCATGAATGTACCGTTAGACAGACTAAGCTGGTTGAGTTATGGACTTGCAACACGCGGATTATTTCGAAGATTTTAATAATAAATTAATAAGACAAAATGATGATTACATAAATATATATTATTTCATTCAAATTATTATTTTATATTTAGTAATTTTAATCATAGAAAATATAAAAAATATTTCTATTTACTAAGATATGATTATAATACATTATGTTAAAATATTAATAATTAATTTTTTAAAATGTTTATTTTTTATAAATATAAAACAAATACATTCTGGAATATATATTGAACATTCTAGAAAATTATGTACTTATAATACCAACATGAGGCATATTAAAGAAATGTCACATCGAATTATCGATCCAATAATAACTTTAATATTTTTAGGAATAAAATTAGAGCATTGTACTTAATCGAATATTTCTCTTATCAAAATGAACTGTAAAAGTTTTGCAATTACATATCATCTAATATTAGATAATATTAGATAATATTACAAAATTTAAAAATTTATGAAAATAAATTTAATAAAAAGATAATTTCAATCGAGGTTAGATTCATTAAAATTAATTTTATACTCTTTTATATATCTATCCATAGAATTAGCTATATTTATGTTATTATAATATAGTAATTTTGTTAAAGTAGAATAATATTTGCATATTTATTTTAAAATTTAACAAATGAACTTATTAAATTAATATTTGTATTACAAATAATCTTAAATTTGAATCAATTATTTCAAATATTATTTTTTCTATTATTATTTATCATAGAAAATAAATAAATAAATGTAAATGAAAAAATAAATTAATTTGAAAAATAAACTTTTTTTTTTTTTTTGTATAAAAAATATATGCTTCACATTCTCACACATTCATTAAATTATTAATTCAAATTAAAAAATACTTCATATTAATTATATTATTATTTATAGTATAAAAAATATTAAGTGCTTTATTCTAAATATATAAACATTTTATTCATTCGATTCATTTGATATTATTATTTAATATTATTTTATTATTATTTTTGAATTGTATAAAAATTAAAGTATTTTTTAATATATATAACTAAATAAATGTAAATGTATAGGATATTGAAGTAGTATGATTATGTACGTGATAGACATGTGTGTGCACTCGTCGGAATGAGTAACCTGAGCAATGGATGCGTGATGAGGATCGACGAATGTTTACGATTTCATGAATGCACGTGAATGTACGTGTCTCGTGAAAATTTGTTTCCACGTGACAATAATATATATGTGAAATTTATGAAAACATAAAAATCTTCATAAATTTTGATGTTGCAGATATTTTATAAATTCAAGAAAGTTAACAGAAAGTTAGGTTATAATTCTTTAACTTCAAAAAATTTTTTCGTAAAAAATCTATTGTTGTAAGTAAAATCATTATTAATATCTAGCATGAATTAATAATAAAATTAGAAAATTAAAATATAGTTACAATTGGAATATAATTTTTAATAATAGTGCATATATATATATATATATGTATAATTGTCTATCATGCAGCAATAGATGTTTATAAATCTATTCAATATGAAATACTATTTCAAAGTTTACGATAAAATTTTATCATATAATAATTTATAAAAATATTAATTGCATTATTATTATATTGATCGATCTAAAATTGAAATAATGAATTAAGAAAAAGTTGTAGCGTATTGTAGAATCTTAACCTCAAATTAATCTTGTAATACAGTATTCGATGACAGTCAAATATTATTACATTTATTATTATGGATTTTAATAATTATATAGTTAAAATTTATTCTTCTATTATTTATTGTAAGATACGGCAATTTTTTAATTTTTTTACTAGAAAGAAAATAAAAAAATAATATTATTTCTTTATTATGAAAAAGGAAAAATTATAATACCAAGTTTTCAATATTAAAAATATTAACAATTCATTAACAATAATACAAAAATGTAATTATACTAATGCAGTATGTGCTAGTAACATGTAAAAAATGTTGAAAAAATAAAGAATTTATTTTTTGTGTGAAATTAATTTTTAGGGATAGTGAATAAATTTAATTCCGTAGAAGTTAGGTTAAAATTGAGTTTAAGCCAGATTAAAGATTACCAGAGAATCCTTTGTTATTCTTGTATCGGCTTATGCTTTCGTATCATCTTACTTTAATTCTTTCAGTATACGGTCTCCTAAAAATGAAAAGTATGGCATCTTTTTTCATGGAAATTACAATGACAATGAGTCAAGATCTCACTCTCTCCATGGCCGTTTCTCTAATCGTGTTGTAAAAACACGCGTCAAATGACATAAGGGTAATCTTAAATCTTAAGGACTATACTGTTATTGAACCTACCAAGAATGTTCAGTTTAGGTAAAAAAAAAAAAAAGAATCTCGGCATCCTTAAATTTTTAGCAATCTATTATTATTTCCGAACATTTTCAATATTTTGACGTAGTTAAATTTATTTTATATTTCAATTTAACAAATGTATTTTTCGTTGTAACACACATCCCAATCATTATTTAGAAAGATAAAGATATCTCAATTACATTAGTTTTATAGTTACGAAATAGAAGCATTAGAGAATCGGTTTTTCAAGGTTTCACTATTATGTTAATCTCTCTTTGATATATTAATCATTAGTCGTATTCTTATTAGAAGAATGTATTGATAAGGAAGAACATAATTTTCATTTTTCGTCCTTCGGAAATATAAACAAATTATTCGAACCTCGATAAGAAAATCTTATCGAGAATAACAAAGACGTTTAAGAGATTAATTTCAAATGTTTCGCCCTCTGCGAATATAGGATGTATATTGTTACACAAAGTGTAATACAGAAATGTTTTAATTTCTGAACGTAAAAAAAAATTTCTTGTGATTCAGTTTACAAAGTAAGAAGGAGATAAGCACTTCTGTACCATCAATCGATAAAACCGCTCGATTAACGGGAATTTACGAAATCTGACTCATCGATGAGTAATCGGTACGCTTCTCGGTCGAAAATTGGTGCCTGCGGAATTGATGTCATTGTAGAAGTTATATCGAGAAAGTCGGGAATGATTGTCATGCATAATTAGCGTTAATTACATTGAAAACGAGTCGCGGAAAAGGACACGATCGTTAACCCAAGCATCGTTGTTTCTCTTAATTAAGTTTGTCTCGTGTTCTATTTAATTGCCACGTTACAGTTCACATTTTTTTTATATTTTTCATTTTAACCGTTTAAACGGAATGAATTTGTATTGAGCGTTACAGATGAATTTCTCATATCGCTCAAAAGATAATTGACTTTTTTTTTTATTACAATTATTATCTCTATAATAATTATTTTTTTTCTTTTTTAGTAATATAATAGATATAATAATAATAATAAATTTTTTTTTATATTAATATATCATATGTTAAAATATTTTGTTTTGTTATGATGCAATAAATTTAATATAAATTAAATTTTATTTTAAAAGAAATTTAAACATAAAAATAAATTTTTTTTTTAGGATTTATGGTGATGCTAATGTGCAGATTGATTAACATTAGCTATATATCTTTTATTTTAATTATAGTAATTATATTTCTCAAATATTTTACTCTCAAGACTACTTCAACGCGATAGTCAGTTGCAGGAAATCATTTTGTGTACAACGGTACATCTTTTCATGTACACGCATTTATCTTTTTCTTTTTTTAAATAAAAATCATTTTTATTCATTGAAAGAAATATTGTTATTAATATATTCATCTTCGCTTCACAATGAATTAGAAGTGTTTCCTAATTTTTATTTATTTTAAAAATATAATTAAGTTCAATAATTATTAGAATATAAATTTTTATTTATTTAATATGATGATATTTGTTGTGATTTATAATTTATTTAACAAAGACAAAAATTTTTTAAATATTGCTAATATAGAAATATTTGTAATATCATTTAAGTATAATAACGACTTTAGTAATGAAATTTTTCAAATTAAATATTATAAAAGTATTTTTATTCTTTTTTATATTTTAAATTAAAAAATAAAACACATATTTCACATATTTTCATAAAATATCAAACAGTAAATTAGAAAATACATTAAATACATGTATAAACATTTTGAACATCTCCAAATAATATGATAAATTCATATTATCACTTGCAATTTTATCGTTCATTTAGCTTTTAAGATTTTCATAATTTTATACATATGAAAAAAAAAAAGAAAATATATTTTTCTTTTTAAATCATTCAAATTGTGCTTTAAAAATTTCTCTTATTAAAAACGAAGAGAATATTTAGGTGACCTCCTTCAACTGAGATGTCCTGTATACTATTTCACTTCTCTTATATTTCTGCCTTCTCTGTTATCATCATTTTTGTTACACATCATCAAGGCATAATCCTGATGACTTGCTGCGCGAAAACATATTTCATTATTAACAACAAATAGTTTTTATCTAGTTTCTTTGTATACGAGATAAAATTGATATTTACTTTATAAATTTGTTACATATAACATTTTTGTTTATTGCATGTCCTTATTCTAATTCATTACTCTGATTGATCTGCAAAATAACAACATAATGTAGTTTTAATATTAATAGTCATTGTTGAAAGTAAAGAGAGAAAAAAAAGATTTAAGCAAATTAATTATTTTAATAATTTTGTTTATTTATTTAAACTTTATCAATTCAAACATTTATCTTCTTTTGTAGAAATATTAAAATGTTGTACGTGTTTGGTTCAGTGTGAAATTATTCGCTTCATTGAATGGGTCCAAGAATGGGTTCTCTCTCCAGTGGTGGGGATGACTTCTTAATGTATATACGAGCACATGATGGATAAATACTGTATTTGTGAATTCAACATGTGGTTATATCGACTTTATACTATGTAATAAAAGTGGTTAAGGCAAGTAGATGGAACTCGAGTAAAGTAGATAGAAGATTATTAATTAAAATCTAATCCTTGAGAAATTGATGACTAATTAATCGTGAGATTAAAATGGAAATTGAATATCGAATTAATCATTGATTTAACATTTTCATCTTAGAAGAATTTCTCGTTTACGATAGTCATTTGAATTTTGATTTTATATTCTACTTACAGACAATGCAAGATTTTAATATATTCTGCTTACATACGAATTTTACGAATAAATTGATATTTATCGAGGATCAAACTTTTGCCTCCGAGCACGCGTGTATACAACAGCGCAGATAGCGACTATTTTTAGCCACTTTCTCGTATAAATAGTTCGCTGATTAAGGCAGACAATATACAATTATTATAAAGAATGGTCAAACGAAATGACCAAAGCAATTTATGAATCGGGTACTATGATGTCATTTAACACATTAAATGAAAAGCTTTCAGAAAAGCTTAAAGATATTTTTATGTATATTCATATGGATATTTGTTTCTAACTTTCAAAATATATTTGGTTTTATAATAAAATATAGAATTTATTTATATAAATAGAAAAATATATTTTTCTAAATTTATAAGAATTATAAATTAAGACTGTATTATTATTCAATATTTTTTTTATTTTATAGAAAAATAAATAAAATAAATAATACTTTCCTCGTGTAAAAATTTATTTTATGATCGAAATAACAGAAATTATGTATTCTGGGTCAAAAGTGACTCGACGTCTGTCGTACACACGATAACTTCGCCGTTTGCAATTCGAGGATTAAGGTGAAGAGATTGTAGATTTAATTTCATAAATTGATGACAGCATCAATTCTTGTTCTATTTAAAATTGTTTCAACACATAAGTGCGAGAATTATTCATTAGATACTAGGATAATTAAGATAATGAACAGTATAAATTGTATGAAATGTTACTCATTCACTATCTCATTCACTATATCGAATAAGAAATGTTGAATAACTGGTTAATAAATAAAAAAACCTTCTATCTAAATGATTTGAATACAAAAAATATTAATCATTTCGCTCCGAAAGAATATTAAATAATTATAACGTTGAAAGCATACGTAAAGCTATAAAGTAAAAATTAGATTTTTATTTATATGGATATTTGCTGTGGCAATGGCATAAGTAATCTAAAATTAAGATTTTAGAAGAAACGATTTTGAATAGTTTAATTGTAGTTAATAACTACATAAAAATTAACTATAAAAATAAAAAACTAAAAATTCACGATTTGAAAATTTATTTACAATTACTTATTTTACTATAATTAATCATTTATTTAAATATTTTTTTATTATTTTTTTATGAATAAAAATTGCTTCGATTTTTATATTTAAAGTAGTTTCTTTATTTAGATAGTATATAGCATAGCGAAAGGATTGGTTAAAGAGAGATTCTAACCTATTCAGAATACTCAAGTATAGGTTAATAATTATACATTGATATTTTATTACCATTGATTCCGTTAATAGTTGTAATTACTCTGACTAATAACAATCATTTCCTGTTGTTTGCAGACGGTGCAACATGGATTCCCAAATAAGCCCACAGCCCTCGCATGGGATCCGAGTTTGCGGTTGATGATCATTGGCACGGCATCCGGCGCCATAAAGGTGTATCCTTTTTACTCTCGTTCTTCCTTTTGTTTCCTATTAACTTCTACTTTCTACTTTTTTCTTTATTTTCTCTTCTGTTTCAATCTTTTTTTCTCGATTAATAATTAATAATTCGGTCACAAGGTATAGTCGATGCGCGATGACGTTCGTATCCATCGATAAATAGTCGAAAGCCTTCGACAGCCATTGACCGTAGGGAAACGGGCACGTGATTGAAGCTAGTTTCTTCTGCTACTCTTTCTCTCCACTGTAGTTACTAATTTTAGATATGGGATACTCAATATTTTGCAATCTCGATAAAGCTATTCCTCGATTCACGTCTCAGCTTTTATATAATCATATTTTTCATTCAGAAAATATATTCTCGTGTACCTTTTTTTTTTTTTTTTTTTCTTTTTGAGAAACCCATAGTATATAGAACGAGGGAAAATATATTATCTTACAGTGACATCTAGTTTTCGCGAGAAAATTATGTTCGTTGAATTCTAAAGGGTATACTTATTGAATGACGAAATCGAACTTGAGAATTATATTCTTTGTGACGTTGCGTGTGAAAGTATCGAAGTGTTAAGAAGTCATGCATAGGAATATAAAGTAACCGAAATATTTCGATTATAACGCAAACCACTTTAACGTGGAATGTATGTAGGAGGAATTTTTTTTTCTTTTTTAAAAAAAAGGAATTAAATTATATATTTAATTCATCAGATTTTTATAAATTTATAAAAATTTCTAATTTTCAAAATTAACGAATGCACAAAACTTTAAATATTTCAATATCTCTTAAACATAAAAAAATATTAGATTAGAATATTTTATTTAGAAAAAACAATATTTTATAGTTATATATAGTTATATTTTTTCAGAATTTAAATAATTATCATACTAGACAAGACATCAAAATCTTTGAGGTTGAAAGTTTGAGGCTATGATGTTTTTCTCAAGAAAAGATTGGTATAAACGATGTAGAATTAAGAGGGCGCTTTAGTACATAGAAATCGCATAGAATCTTAAATTCTAAAGTCTCGGAATTGAATCTTTATTAGCTTCAAGTAGATTCTTTTACATTTTTCCTCGTTCGAGAAATAGGATTGGATGCATGCAGGAAACGTGAACTTATGATTCTATAATATTTGATCTTTCGAAGTGTAAATTACATTTGAACATTTAAAGATGAATTTTAGGTTAGGTAATGTTCAAACTGAATAAAATAAAGTGATAGGCATAGAATTCCAATAGCAATTGAGCTAATTAATGATATTTACAAGTTGCCAGTACTATTGTATTCTTTTACAAAACAACAGCAAATATTATAATGAAAAAAATATAGTTTTACAATATATCTTACGAATTATATTCGTTTCATTATTCTACTTAATGTAAAGATTGTAAAAACAAAATGTATATTATTAATTGATAAATTATATAAGAAACTTTAGGATCGAATCTCGAGTAGGTTCGCTTATATTTTTCTTGTTTTTATAATGGAAAGATGAGAGTTCGAAAGCGTTAAAATATTACGTGCAAGTGTATAATTTGCGAAGGAGTATAGATTGAAGATAGATACCAATCGAAATTAGAAATAATAGGATGATTATAGATTATAAGTATATTGCAGTAGAACTCGAAAGTAATGTAATTCAAAATGTGAAATTTCATATTATATCACGCCCATATTTGATGATAAGTATAAATCATAAACGACATTGATCACGAATGAAAGCAATTCGATTTTTGTTCGTGAACACATCTATATTATATTATATTATATTTTTCATAATAAAAACGATCTTTATTTCAATGAATAATTTTATATTTTTTAATATTTTTAATTTTTATATTTTCTATAAATATACGTTTTCAAATATTATTTCATTCCACTTTTTGCTTGAAATACCCATCATTGGTATAGACACAGATTCCGATTTTATAAACAAGACGTTTGATATACTTTATCTCTTCTGTTCTTCATTTTATGTTCATTGTTCGCTGAACATTGGTTATTTAGCATCAAACGTATCATAAAGATGAATTTATTGAAAATGAACAAAAAAAAATTACATCGTATTTTACATTGGAAGGAAAATCGATGGTGGTATATTTGAAAGTTTAATCAATCGAGCAGAGATTCTATCGTGTCATTTTCCAAGAGTCACAAATTTTTGTCCTCTTCTTTTGTTTGAGCTTTATCCTTGTAACACACGCAACTCTGTAACTGTTCCTTTTAATGTATAGTTGACGTACCGCAAAAGACTTTAAATCATTCCAGAAACATGTCGAAGTTATGCAAAACAATTTTGAGATCTTTAAAAGATTCATTATCGAGGAAATATTTAGAAATTAACCAACGTGTGGACATGTTGAATACGTATTTTTATTACTTTGTTACCCAGTTTTATGCCAGGTCGATTATTGATTCGGTAGACCTGGAATAGTTCGTTTCACAATATTAAAAAAATTAAAACTTTTATTGGGAATTTTATTATATAGATTTCTGTTTATAAAACATCGAATACTTATAAATATATATTTCAAGATTAAAATATATATATATTGATTTTAATATGATATTGATACTAGTTGAATTTGTATTATAAATAATATGTTATAATATATTTTAATGACGTTTTAATATGAATTTATATAAATTTATATTAGTTCATTCGTAACAATAACAATAATGTGTAAAATTATTAAAGAATAAAAAAATAATTTAGTATTAATATATATAATATATGTGAGCAATAAATAGATCATTAGATGAATTAAATAAAAACATAATAAAACATAATAAATATGCTATAAATATTTTGATTTTTTCAAATTTTTACAAGATTTTCAAATAGATGAGAAAAAAGGAATTATTGTACAAAAAGGATATTACATAAATACTTAAAATTTTTTTCAATAATTATGGAATCAAAAATTAATATAAGTTAATTTTAGTTTTAAATTGCTTTTAATATTTATATTTATTATTATTATTAAATGTAAAAATAATTTTTTGAAAAATTATGAAATGATGTAGTAAATTATTAAATTTAAAAAATAGAAAATTCAAATATTAGTTAAAAAATTAATAAATTTATATTTAAAAACAAATTACATGTATTTATGAACATATTTTATATTATCTTACTTTTAACATATACTTGATAATTAAAAATAATAGAGTACATATTTTATTATTTGTTCAAATAAATATTTATCTATTTATATAATTATATTTCAATGTTTCTATATTATAACATTGTTATAACATCAATAATAATTTACATATTTATATAAAAATGTTTTAAAGCAAAATTGCTTGAAAACGTAAGAAATCATTTTATTCCTTCTAACAATCTAACAAATAAAATTTGAAAAATTCAAATGATGAAAACCAAAAGATTTGATTTTCAATATGCTGGTTGTTTCATTACACGATGTTCGAACGGCTACGTAATCGGTAGATGATCATTATTATTTCGCAAGACGGATGATAAATGTTTTTATCGTATCTCGAAGGTAATTTTATTTGCAATTGATATTAGCTGGGCAATTGATACAAACGATTTAATGAATTATTTATAAAATTCCTTCAAAAAGTTTTTTTTGTCTCTAGTTTGGAATTCGCTTTTGTCCCTTTGATTCGATGATTTAAGAAATTATTCAAACTGCACTGCAACTATTGCACGATGAGTATCGAAGAATCGGAAGAGAATACGGAAGATCTGTATACATACATTACTCGGATCGAGTACAATCGTTTCTCTCAGTATATTAAATCGGCCATTTTTAAAACAAAAGCAGTGTTTATCTCTGGATAGAAACGAAGATCTCTTGATCTATATTTGCAATAAGAGTTATTTATATACTTTTTCTCTATTTAGTTTTTCCTATTTTCCTTGACCGAAGACATTATAGATTCGGTAGGCCAGGTGTGGAATTCTATGGACAACACACTATCGAAAGTGGAGAGAATGCTGTCACGAAGATCGTCGCTCTGCCCAACGAGGTAAGCGTCATTCTATTATTATATATATATATATATATATATATATATATATACA